GTCTGATTCATTCATCAAAACAAGTTTTCAATATTAAATGTATGCTATTTTAGGATAATTGATTTATTTATATTTTCCAGATATGAAGCAACAGCATGTCATAGAAACCTTGATTGGCAAAAAGCAACAGATCTCTCTTGCAACACAAATGGTTAGAATGATTTTGAAGATTGATGATATCCGTAAGCCTGGAGAATCTGAAGAATAAAGAAGAAATTTAGAATAAAATGTAGTAGTAAGAACCACTGTTGTGATTAAATAAAAGGGTGTCTTGTGCATCTACAGTTATTTATTATTACATTCTTTTCCAGACACTGTAGATGCTATAATAAAAATAGTTGTTTGGTAATCATAGTTTCACTTGTTCAAAGACGTGTAATTGTAGGAACACTGTCTCACAAGCTTTTGTATTCATTATATTAAAGGGATCTCTTTAAAAACCATTTTTATCTTTTGCTCTTTACGTTTATTAAGCATTCATTGTAACCCCATGCTGCCTGTATTCAGGGAGTGTGGTGGTGGTTTTTTAAGTAAGCTCTAGGAACTATTTTAACAGCTTAAACATTGAGATTGTTCCGGAGATTTGTTTTAACAGAGGAGTATGGGCTTGATCCTATTCAATATTTTACATGCTATCTAAATGGGTGGATCTTTTTATTATAGAGACCTATCACAAGTGAGTGTTTCTACCACAAAATTATGGACTGTCTTAGGTGCAGTTAGGTTACAATGACATAACCTAGGATGCTGTTACAGTGCTGAAGAGCAGGGTTTAATCTTCATGTAGTCCCTATTGCTTTATACTAGCCCTGGCCCACCCTGCAGCACCTGCAGATGCCTGGAAGGACAAGTCAGAACCCAACTGAGGTTTTCTTATCAGAGGGACAGAACAAATGGAAGTTAGAGTGAATTCTAGAAAATAGGGAGAAATGGATCAAGTGGAAGGAAATGTCTTGCAATTGGCATGAATAGGTTGACTGCTATTGAATTAATTCTATACTGAAATAATGGCCAACAGTGGCTGCGTTACCTCAGGCCAGGTCAGTTTGCTCAATTATCATCATCCTGTGAAGGAATTAGGTTTCTCACTATTCACACCCTGTGGGTGATAGCTGACGGTTTGCCAGACGTCTCATGGCCAGTAAGCTGTAGAGCCAGGCCACACAGGCAGTCTGACTCCAGCATTCCCCTCCCATCTGTGTTTTGCTTGTGTGGTTCTCTAGGTTTTCTAGAAGGATGTTTCTTACATAGAATCATGATGACGAAGTTCACTTATGTGCCACCAGGAGTAGAGGATTTGCTGATAAGGCTTGGTCACATTTCCTAAAATCAGGAAATAGTGATTCTTCATGACTCAAGTGTCAGGGTTGCCTTCTGTGAACCTGGACACTGACCAGTCAACCATTGGGTCATCATGTTCTCTACATTAATGCATAGGTGGTTTTGCTAAACAAGTATACTCTGCATTTTGGAATATGCACAGATACCAGTCTTCCTTATTTTGGAATATTTATGGAAATGGAGTATTTCATCACACCATGGGTTGTGAAGTGACATTGTTACAAATTGTGCCACTGCATTCTGAGTGCCACTTCCAGATATACCTGTTCTGGGAGTAGGTTCCCACTGGACACAGCCCTGCTTAGGTAAGTGACGTGGTAGTTCAGATGAGTTGATTTATAAGGACTGATTCTAGCCTACAGAGAAGGAAGAGCAGCCTGCTCTGGACCAGTCTCTTGCCTGAAGGGGTTCATGGTTGTGTGAGAAGAGCCACTAAACCACACTTCTCCCAAAAATGAACCTCACAAATGGTCCTGGTGCTTTCTGTGGTTGAGAAGAAACTATGTGGCTTATAAGTAGGAAACCATGTAGAGATGTTGCACAGCTATTGGTTTTATTTCATTAAAAGCACCTCTTCAAGGCAGCGTTACTTATCTTCAGATTCTGAGTCACCTGTCAAGTTTCACACTCCTTGTACTGTAGGTTACCCTACCTCCTCTGAGCAACTAAAGTCACGGGATCCACCAGTTTCCGGTTGGCCCCCAGTTCCTACACCAGCTGCGTTTGTTAGATGTTTGTTAAATAGTCTGATCATTATAAACAACCACTCAAAAGTACAAATGCCTCTGGAAGGGCCAAGAGGCTAATCTGTTACCTGTGACTGAATTTCTCTAATCATTTTGGTTTTCTCAGTTCTTGTGAAATAGCTCCACCCAAGGACTGGGGGTTTGGGACTGGAGGCAATGGTGATAAATAATAAATTATTTGTAAGCACCAAGAAGTGTTTCTCCTTTTAGGTGGTCTTGCAGGCAGTCTTGCAAGGTGAGGATCATTTAAATCACAGGAAAAGACGGTAGCAAAGACAGCTGGCTACTTAGAAAATGTGTGGGCTCTGCAGAAGTGGGGAGAATCTGACAGCGATAGTATTAGACGTTTGGAGTGTCCTAAGTGCTGTTATAAATGTTTTCTATAGATATTAACAGTGGTTTTCAAGATGTGGTCCATAGACCCTTGGGGTCCTGGACCCTTTCAAGCAGCCATGAGGGCAAAAGTATTTCCATACGAAGTTTATTTGCCTTTTTCACTGTGTAGACATTTGCACTGATTGTACAAAGGCAATGATAGGTAAAATTGATTTTTTTAAAAGATTTTTAATTGATTTTTAGAAAGAAACATGGATTTAAGAAGGACAATGGGCCACCTCCTGCACATCCCCTACCAGGGCTCGAGCCTGAAACCTTTTGGTGCATGGGATGATGCCCACCCAACTGAGCCACACCTGCCAGAGCTAAAATTGCTTTTGTGTTCACGTGGGTTGGCAGTGGCACAAAATCATACTAGCTAGTAGTCGTATTCTTCACCACCACACTCTAAAATCCATTTTCACTGAAGGATAGCCTTGATCAAGCAATACAGATCACTAAATCATTGGATCTCAGCCCTTGAGTGCACAGCTTTTTAGTGTTCTGGGACAAGTATTTAATAAAGATTCATGCATCGAGTATGGTGGTGGTCTCAGCTGAACTAGCCCGAATGGGACACTATTTTTACTTCAAAGGGTGACATGACTGGTTACTCAGACGTGGATATGTAACACATTTTCTCAAAACTGGATATAGTAACCTGTCACTTCAGTAGAACAATGGTCTTAGTTCAGGCTCCTGTAGCAAAAATGGCACAGACAGTGGCTTAAACAACAAACATTTCTCACAGTTCTGGAGGCGGGATGTCCAAGACCAAGGAGCTGGCAGGTCCAGTGTCTGGTGAGGGCCTGCTTACCAACGTGTAGACAGCCACTCGCTGTCCTCAATGGCCCGCAGAGAAAGAGGTCTCTGTCTCGGTGATGCTCTCTCCCCAGCCTTTTTTTTTTTAACTTTTTGGAACTTCTCCCATGATTTTCATGAATGGTCTAGTTGTCTTTGTGCATCCCTGACTCCTTCCTCTCATTCCTCTCTCAGGGTATGTGAAGTTCCCACCCTGACCCAAGCACAAAGTACTAACACTTTCAACATGAGACTGTATTCCCCCCAACAACCCTGCAAAGTAATGTCATTTTTCTCATTTCATAGATTCTACATTGAGAAAAACAATGTAGGTACATGCCCAAAATCAACATGGTAGGGCCTGGGCACTGAGCCCTTCCCCTCTATGTCCCATGTCCTCTCTGCCCACACCTGGCAGGTGGCTCCCAAGACTATAGGTCCACATGGGGCTGCCTCTGCTGCTCACCCACCAGATCTCCACTCCCCCTTCTCTGTGCCCAGCCTGGGGACCAGTCAGTCCTGGCCATGACCTCCCCACTCCAACTCAAGCTCACGCCCGGCCCCTCATGACACATGAGAAACCAGCTGGAGGATTTCTGGGGAAGAGTTTTCTCCCAAACAAAACTAGGTACAGGAAGAGAGCCCTTGCCGCCCTTCCGCCCTTCCTGCCAGGAGTGGTGGGGTATGAGGCTGAGGCCCAGAGCCATGCCCACGAGGAGGGCCTGGGACGGCAGGCGCCTAACCATGTTCTGACACCAGTCAAGCCCTGAGCCGCTTGGAACCGTTGTGGGGTGTTGTGGGAGAGACTTGCATGTTATTTTCTCAGCCACTGCTAGTCGAGCCACTGTTAGGCTTTCCGTTGTCTGCAGCCCCAGGAACTTAACTGATACCCCAAACTGACCAAATCCAAACTTTTCTCCAAAGTTCTGCTTCTCTTCAGTATCCCCTGTCCTGGATTGTCTCTAAGCTGACTTCAGATACCTAGTTCACTGTGTCCTAATGGCTCTGGAACCCCTCCTCTCCATTCCCCGCCCTGGGGTCAGGACTCACGGCTCGCTTCTCCCTCCCTCTCCAGAGGGCCCATCTGTCACTCCTGTAGCCCCACTCAGCAATGAAAGGAGAGTAGATGTAGCTTCCTGAAGCTACAGGGCTCCTTGCTCCCCAACTTCCATGAGTTTCTATCCAGGAGCCCCAGGGCTGACAAGAAATGGCCCCAAGTTGGCCCTGGCACATGGGGATGAAATCCCCACCCTCCACCCAGGACCCAAGCAAACACCCCCTCCCCATTCTCCTACCCAGTGGAGGGAGCCTACCTAAGGGCCAAGGCCTGGGTGGGCTGGAAACTAAGCAACCCTTCTGGTGTCTGCAAACAGAGATGATCCAATGAGAGGGACAGCTCACTGGTCTAGGCTTGGTTAGCTGCCAAGTAACCAAACTCTCAGCAGGAACTGAGGAAGACCAACTGCAGGGCTAGGCAGCTAGAGGATAGAGGATGCGAAGCACCTTCACTGGTGTAGGTGAGCTCTGCCCTACACAGTTCCCACTAGCCACACATGGCTACTGAGCGCCCAACATGTGGCAGGGCTACTGAGGAGCTGCATTTTTTATTTGATTTTATTATAATTCTGATTGAATGCATGAGACCCAAAAATGCTGGGAGATAGCTGGATGGTAACTCCAATCTATTATTTTTTAATACCTTGTAGATAAACCCACAAATTAAAAAACTCAAAAAGTATTAGCTTGATGTAATTAGGCCCATAGAACCCTATGTTAATCTTTCTCATAGTGCAATATATGAACATGAAATTCATCTGTATTAAGACAAAGATAAACATCTAATTAAACTGGGCTTTTAATCCACCTGAGTTTACAGTTCATGTTTTCATGGCTTTACAACATTAGTCATTTTAAGAGACATCCTCCATTAAAGACCATAAAGGCCACACCTGAGATATCAGCTGGTCCCAGGTGTTTACTAATAGTTAGGATATTACTCTGTCAGTCTAATTCTTCAGGTACTAACCTATTTTAATTGTTTTATTTAGGTACATATTAAAATTAAACTATTTCATACATTAACATTTCCTACTGAATCTGAGTTGCAGTTGAAATCATGAATTTCAGGATTCCAAAGTGGAAATTAAATGAAACGATCTAAGTATTTCAAAGCCAATTTCTGGACAAAAGCTATCTTGAGAAAAGTTTGCACTGGCCACTGCTAAATATACTTGTTCAGCCATTCGAGTAAATTCCTTCTTGCCTCGTCAATATAGGGCTTGTCTTCAGGTGAACAATCTTCTCTCTTTCGATGCACAAACCCATGAGTTTGTCCGGAAAATGTTTTAATTTGATATTCCACTTTGCAGTGTTCTTTCAACTTCTGGGTCAGTGAAGAGACCTGGTATGCAAAGATTTTCACGATGAAATGATTCTAACCCTTTAGTAATATTTCCCAATCTCTAAATCTCTTGTGAATGCTCATAAGAGATTCAACATCAATGCTTTCCATTAAGTTCCATAGCCATAATGATGTTTTTACTTTTAATGTTATAACCAACATAGTCCTTACCTCTGGCAAAGGAGAGAATTCAGGGCCAACCAGGTCACATCAAGGGCACTTTTGGCAGGGAGTAGGGGTTACGATCCCACTCCAAGTCCTCAATGAAACCCAACTTTAAAACTTAATGTTAAAAATACAAAATTTAAATAAATTTTACAAAATTAATGTTAAAATGTGTTTGGAGCAACAAATGTACCCTTTAACATGTTTCCCCCAAATGTCAAATTGTGTTATTAAGTATAAAAATGCAAAGAGGAAAGATGCCAACGTACTTGCTCAAGAGGAATCACAGCATCGTTTTCTGCAAAAATGAACAGCGTTGGGTTCTTCAAACTGTACACGTCCTCAGAATCCTTCACGATGCCTGCAGGATGGGGACAGGTCACTGGGGATGACTTTCATCCACACACATGCTGCGGAACACTACATGGATTTGGCTTTTTCAAAGTAAGTTATGTGCTTTGGGGGTTCTGTTTATTTTCCTTTTTCGAGCAATTCCACAGATGTGGGCTGCCCTATAAAATTAGTCTCAAAGAGGAGCTTAACTAGTGGGAATTCATGGCCAAGGAGCAAGTTGGGGGCCGTGGATGGAAAACTAAGAGGAAACATTGGGGTGAGAGGGATTCTGCCCAGACAACTTGGCAGGACTCCTGCTGAAGGCAGGCCAGATGATAAGATACAAAGGATGGGGATGAATTTAATCAGATATTAAAGGCAAGGGATTCCCGCTAACCTGACCCAGTAGGCCAAGGACAGAGCCGAAGTTGGAGCCCACTCAGAGAGGAAAAGAGGTGCCTGACTCAAGTTTGGTCATAGAGAGTCCTAGTCAGTAGGAGGGAGAATGTAATGGGTGGCTTCCCCCCCCCCCCATTTCCTGTTGGCAGCACAATGAAGCTGAGTAACCTAGAGAAGCTCCCCTCATCTGTAAGTCCTCTCTAGGAGTCAGAGAGCCACAGGAAAGATGGCCACGCTCCCTGCCCCACCGTTTGGCTGCACAGCGATTTGATGCCCCGTTAGTCCCGCCAAGCTCCGCACTGTGCAACAGTGGCCAGAAGGGGGAGCCAGAGAGCTGTCCACCCAGGAACACCTTTTGCCAAATCACACAAAGGGACTGCATGTTCTAGCAACTCTGGTGACAACTGGAAATTTATTCCTTTGGTGTAAGTAAATACTTAAAGGGATTTTTAAAATGCTAAAAATAAGTGGAAAAATACCAGTGAGGAACCATGAAGCCAAATAAGAAATTAAAGAAGGCAAAATTCTCTCTTATTTTCTGTGGTCTGAATGCTTCTATATGGTGAACTTAGTATGCCATTTCTATACACAGAATGTTCGTATCAATGCTATAATACTTTTGGTTTATTTGGGGTGGCATGTTTCTGTTGCTATTTTTATTTTAGAATATGTTTTCCTTTCCTTCCTTTATAGTGTGTACATATGTGCAGTTGAGAATAATTTCTATCTTGGAAAAATCTTTTCTTACACATTCCTCATGGAAATAATGCTTAGTATTAACCATTATTACAGAAATAAATGTTATCCTCTTCATCCTAAGTGAAGAAACTGAGACATCAGGTTAGGTGACTTTCCCAAAATAACAGTCTTGGGACCCAGGTCTCCCCACACCCGGTGACATCCTCTGGTTACTGCAACACAAACCTTCACCTTGACTTTCAGATTTTTAAAGCCAATTTCATGACGGTTGGGTTTTGTGTTACACCTGGGACCCTTAGCTTGAGAAGAGACTCATGGTATGGTCACCCACGAACCCTCCTGTTCTCACTGTATAAATCTGTACAAGGCAGATTTACCATAGAGGGACACTCCTGCCCTGAATTCTGGGTACTTCATCATAATGTGATGGACAGCAACCCCTCCCCAGCAGAATCCCACGACGCCAAATTTCTGGGCATGACAATGTTGCTTCAGATACCTCAGGACAGCATCAACCTCTCTAGAACAGAAAGAAACGTTATTTCAGAATCAAGAGGTATTTTGTGAGGCCCTGGGAAGGGCACTAGGCAGGTAACAGGGCTTTATCAGCAGCTGTTCCTTGAAGTTCTGAGATTCTTACTTTTTGAGCTCAGTCCTCACCACCTCCTGCCCAAGTGATGAGTGACACCCCTCCTGGCAAGTCTCCCTGCCAAGGCCAGCTCCTCCAGCCACCTGACAGGGCTGCAGGCAGGCTCTTTCCAAAAGACCGGCAAATCTGACCAGCTCAACTCCCAGCTAAAAGCTGAGCGACAGCCTTCCCCAGCCTCAGCGTAAAGGCCAAAGGTCACAGCATGGCTCTAAGACCTGACCCCAAGATCTGCCTCTGCCCAGCCACCCCAATCTCCTCTCTCCTCTCAACAGGCACCAGATGCAACTGGGCAGCTCCCCAAACTCTCTGACTTGGCACATTCATTGCCCCGCCTAACACCCCACTCTGCATTGCCTGTCTCCTCCCCCACCCAAAGCACACAGGGAGATTTGGAAAGCCACCAGAACTATTTAAGCCATGAGGGGACCAAGGACAGTGACCCTTGTCTTGCAAACAGTTCATTTGCAAATTGGTTACTTGGAAAAATTCAGACGACATTTTCAACTAGAAGCAATGTACTTAATTCAAGGGTCACAGCCATACAAGTCCTACTTGGAAGAAGAGTGAGGAGGAGTCTGCGGTGAAGCCAGACCCACCTCTCCCTCAGGACTCTGCTCTTCGGTGGCCTGGGGGATGCCACAAACAGCCATACCCGCCGATAACTTACTTATCGATCTTTCTGGAATTTCTTGTTTTCAACCACTCCGGAAAGGTGGACCAGTCCCCAGAGGGGTGCCATGGCTCCTGCCCTACAAAGAAGTCTGGAACGATGGTCCTGTAAATTAGGGACATTAATTGATCTTAGTTCCATTGCTGTTGGGACCTGGCATTTGCTTACATTCATTAAGAAACTTGCTACATGGGTGATTCTCACTCTCAGAAAAAGAGAAGTCATGGCCACAAGGGCCAACTTTGATCACAGCAAACAGGCCAACTGGCACTGGGCCAAACCATCTTGGATTTCACAACCAAAGATGCAGGGCCTCTGGCAGCCTGTTTATAGCCCAGCCCATCTGAAATGACAAGGCGACTCAGCAGTGCACACAGCCCACAAGATGTTACCGCACAGGACAAGGGGACCCAACACGGAGGGTCTGAAGCAAGGTGGGCCCCTACTGTCCCCAAACCTTCAAACTGACCTTTCACATTAGCCTCAGGTCAGAAGGGTACACCTGGTTAGCATGTCTAGTCACTATGACCAAGCAATTTTCCCTAGCTCCGCCCAGCATGCCAACAGGGCACAATTTCCTGCCTAGATGGTGTAGTCTAAAGCGGGTTCTAACAGGGACCACAGCAGGACAGCCAGCTTGCCTGTGTCCGTTGTCGATGGTAGGGGCAGAAAAAATTTCCCTCCTTCCCTTCTAGGTTCTTTGGCTGGTCTAGCTAGTAATTATATTGACAGACAGATGAACAGGTGAAAAACAAATTCTACTTTGTGAATTTAAAAAGGGGTTCTATGGAAAGTAACCTCACACGGTGATCTGATCATAAATTCCTAACTGGAAAGGTCATGGTGGGTAGTCACTTTTTTTTTATCCTCACCTGAGGACATTTTTGCATTTATCTTCAGATAGAGCAGGAAGGAGAGAGGGAGGAAGAGAGAGAAAGAAACATCGATGTATGAGAGCACATCAAGTGGTTACCACCCAAACGAGCCCAACCAGGGCCAGGGACAAACTGCAACCAAGGTACATGCCCTTAGCGGGAACTGAACGCGGGTCTCTCCAGACCGCAAGCCGACGCTCTAACCGCTGAGCCAAACCGGCCAGGGCATTTTTAATAAAAGGTTTTTCTTTCCCTTAAACATGCCTTGTCCATTGTTTCTGGGCACCTAGGTTAACATATCTTTGAAATAAGCATAACCGCCTCAAGGAAGCACATGACCTTGTTAACCCTCCTGTAATTCAACCCCGCCGCCGTACTTCTCCCTCCTCCGTGTAATCTATACTTTCCCTCCTGAATTCTGAAATGCGCCACTTATTAATTCCTGTCATGCTCGGGAGCATCTGCGATCTGGCTCCCTGGCATATGTCTTCAGTTTGGCTCAGATAACTTGTAAAAGTTTTCTACAGGTTTGAATGCTTCCTACGTCAACAATTTCGCATGTCGGGGAGCCTCATAAAAATATGAGACTCAACGGCAGTCAGTCAGACAATTGAGGCCCATGTGTCATCCTCAGCTAAGGACTGGGAAAGGGATTCAAAGGGAAGATTAAGTCCCAGGACAATAAAAGTGACACATTTTGAGGGTGGCTTATTCTGTTCCTTTTCACAATCTTCCATGCAAGTCAACCCAGGAGGGTGAGGCCAACACTGATCTGGCCAGAGACCTGTTTCTAAAATAAAGAGCCATTGCCACCCAAACACAGCTCCTCCTACAGGGGCGGAAAGAACACTGAAATTTGGATCGGAAAACCCTAAAAATTCCAGTCCCAGTGCTGCCCTGCATTTTGAAGTCATTTAAACCACTGTTAGCCTCATTTTCACCATCTGACAAGTAGAGACTGCACCCCACACCGCCCAACCTCATAGGATTATCCTGAGGGCACAATGAGTTGTACGAGTGTAAAAGGGCTTCGTAATCACAAGCACGTTTACTCTTTCTATCACCAGCTAAACTTGAGCTGCTGAAGGAACCACCAGAGACAAGAGAGGCCGCAACCCCATTCAATCTGTTGGTTGCTGCGGGTGACCTGAGGCAACTGCACCTCCGTCCTCATGCCCCCTCATGCCCCAGTTTCCTACTCATCTGAATGAGAACAATGACAGTGCCACCCTGGAGGGGACATTGGAGGGCAAGAGCCCTGTAACGGTCTTCACTGGGGTCTGGCTGAGCCAGAGGCAATCAGAGCTGGCTACTGTTGGTTCATTTTGTTTTTCATCTCTCTTTTCATTAATTTATTTTTATCTTTGAGAGTATTGCAGATGTCTGTCCTTTGTTTTACACTGGGCTTGCTGCTGGGATGTTAAATTGCCTCATCTTTTTTTTTTTTTTTAATCCTCACCTGAGGACGTTTTTGCATTTATCTTCAGATAGAGCGGGAGAGAGAGAGAAACATCAACCCCAGAGAGACACATGGAGTGGTTGCCACCCACATGACCCCACGCAGGGCGGGGGGCAAACTGCAACAGAGGTACGTGCCCTTAGTGGAAACCGAACCCGGGACTCTCTGGTCTGCAGGTCAACGCTCTAACCGCTGAGCCAAACTGGCCACGGCAAATTGCTTCATCTTTAAAAAGAAACTGGGGGGCATGAAAAAGTGAAAAATCAGGTGAAAGCCCTCTTTTCAGTCAACAGTAAATTTGCATCACACAGCAGGGGTCTGCTTCCTTTACATGGGGTTCTCTTCAGAGGAAAATGTACCCTTTGATTTCCAGCTTCTCTTTTTGAGAAAACAAAGAAAATCGGGGTGCTCCAAACTCAGGTCCTGCTGGGTGTTATGCTTCTGAAGCTGGAGAGGAAGGAATGGTTCCTCTTCTCCACGCTTCACTGAAGCTGTAACCAATACCAGGGCAGGTGAAAGCAAGCAGGTGGCAGCATTCCCCACACGGCTGGGCAAAGGCACGGCTTTGGGAGATGGGGGGTCTCTCTGTGGCAGCTCTGGACCCAGTCCCACTCAGACAGGGCCATGAGAGAGTGAGGCTGACATGCTCCGAGGGCCAAGTCATGGGTCCGTTCCACAGTTGGGCGGTATGTCCAAGGACACATGTCCTGTACCTCTGTCCAGCAGGGCCCCACATTGAGGGCACTCCCAGGAAGACCTGAAGCCCAGGGATGGGCTGGGAGCTGGTGGCTTCTATTGGCCAGCAGGTTATTTTAAGTTTCATTTACCATTTACCCTCACCCCAGAGAGATAAGGAAGTAGGTAATATAAATTAGGGATTGGATGAAAGAAGGAGTAGAAAGTAGCCAAAGAACATATAGACATAGCCCATGGACACAGACAACAATGTGGTAAAGGCCAGGGGAGGGGGGTGGAGGCTGGGTGGGGGTGGGCAAAGGTGGGGAAAATGGGGACATCTATTGTTAATAGTGTCAACAATAAAACAAAGTTATTTTATAAAAGAGTACAGTCAGGGTTTTTTGGTTCTGTTTTTGTTTTCCCTGAAGGGAACAAAATATAGATCACAGAAATTTACATGGATTTAAGCAAAGGAACAGAACTTTATACGAACGTGTATCCATTTGCTGCAATCATGTCAGCTATATATCTGGTGTTGGGCAACTGCCAGCCAAATATATCTTGAATGACGATCACGGCTTTGCCAGCATAGACGGGGGATCTGGTGACATAAGCCTTGATGTGCTCAACTTGAACCTCACGCCCCATGCCTCCATATTCCATCTTGTGGCCAATGTCACAGGGACAAGGGTGAGCTTCGTTAGCCATTGGAGATATTTTAAGTCAGGCTGCAGAGAGAGAAACATGCCTTATATTCTGAATGGTGCAAATCTGAAGATTAGGAACAGTATGTAAACTAAAATCAAGATTACAGAATGACCTGGGCCCCGAGGCTAAGGCCACCAGATTCTATTCTTATATAGGCCTCTTGCCTAAGGCGACAAAATAACTCCATTTTTATCATCAGTGGACCTTCCTCGATATTTTTCCAATAATAGGTTAACTACCCCTAGAAGTAAAGGAATTTTGCCTAAGATTATAGTTGCCCCATGTGTTGGGAGGCATTTGCAGTTTCTGTATGGGTATTTGCAGGTACTTGTGCGCAGGTGAAAATGCTAATTTTTACTTCTGTAATCACTGTCACTCCCACTATTGTATTGGTCCACTGATGGGGGGCGGGGTGGCAAAGGGGGGGATGGGGCTTCTGTCTTTAAAATCAGACGAGCAGGCTTTCGGTCAAGATGGCGGGTAGGTAAACGCGGTATCGCGTCCTCCCACAACCACATCAAAGTTACAACTAAACTACAGAACAACCATCATTCAAAACCGCCTGAAATCAAGCTGAATGGAAGTCCTACAACTACGGAATTAAAGCAGCAGCCACATCTAGACTGGTAGGAGGGGCAGCGGAGGCTCAACAGGCTGGTCCCACACCCACGTGTGGCGGATGAAAATCAGGAGGACACCTCGGCTGGGAAGGTCCTTCCTGAGGACTGAGGGATCCCTGTCCCACACCAGGTGCCCCGCTCAGGGTTCCAGTGCCAGGAAGAGAATCCCCATCACTTCTGGCTGGAAAACCAGTGGGAACTGAGGCTCAGGGAGGCTGAGGCGGCTGGAGCCCCAGGCAGCTCCTTAAAGGGCCCGCGCACGGACTTATCGGACTCTCTCCCTCTAAGCTTGGAGGGGAGGCAGCTCGAGGGGCACCAGAGACATACAGGGAAGAACTGAGCTGTTTGGCACTGGAGCGAGGGCTGGAGAGGGGGCTTTCTCCGGGACAAACGTGCTGTCAGAGGCCTTTGTTCCTTTGGTGAGCCCTTCCCGGGGGCGGCAGACAGTCACCATATCTGGGACTCCAGCAACCTGGCTCACACTGGTAGCCCGGCCCTGCTGAATCCCTGAGGCCCGGCCCCACCCCACCCCACCCAACTTTCAGGCCCACCCAAGCTGTTGCCACTTGCTTAACCATAGGATTGGCCTGTCTTGGATCCTGCTTCAGGTTTTTTCTAAATTCTTTCAAACGAGCAGCATCTGGTCTCCAATAGCCCCATACCTCTCGTTAAGTAATACACTTAAACAAACACAGGGAGGCAGCCAAAATGAGGAGACAAAGAAACAGGTCCCAAATGAAAGAACAGAACAAAATCCCAGGAGAAGAACTAAGTGAAATGGAGATAAGCAACCTAACAGATGCTGAGTTCAAAATACTGCTTATAAGGATGTTCAATGAACTTAGTGAGAACCTCAGTGAACTTAGTGAGGGCCTCAAGAGCATAAAAAAGGACCAGTCAGAAATCATAGATGCACAGTTAGAATTGAAGGAGGCATTAACTGAAATAAAGAATAATTTACACAGTTTCAATAATAGAGTACGTAAATCCAAGGAGCAAACCATCGATTTGGAATATAAGGAAGCAAAAAAATGCCCAATCAGAACAGCAAAGAGAAAAAAGAATCCAAAGAAATGAGGATAGTGTAAGGAGCCTCTGGGACAACTTCAAGCGTGCCAACATTCGCATCTTGGGGGTGCTGGAAGGAGAAGAGCCAGAACAAGAAATTGAAAACCTGTTTGAAACAATAATGGCAGAAAACTTTCCTAACTTGGTGAAGGAAACAGACATGCAAGTCCAGGAAACACAGAGAGTCCCAAACAAGATGAACCCCAAGAGGCCCACACCAAGACACATCATCATCAAAATGCAAAAGGTTCAAGACAAAGAGAGAATCTTAAAAGCAGCAAGAGAAAGGCAGCTAGTTACCTACAAGGGAGTTCCCATTAGGCTGTCAGCTGATTTCTCAAAAGAAACTTTGCAGGCCAGAAGGGAGTGGCAAGAAATATTCAGAGTGATGAAAAGCAAGAACCTACAACCAAGACTACTCTATCCTGCAAAGCTGTCATTTAGAATCGATGGACATATAAAGACTTTCCCAGACAAGAAAACGTTAAAGGAGTTCATCACCACCAAACCATTATTATATGAAATGATGAAGGGTCTTTTTGAAGAAAAAGATAAAATATATGAACAAACAAAATGGCAATGAATACATAATTTATCAACAATGGAATCTACAAACAAAATGAACAGGTAGATCAGAAACATTCTCATAGATACAGAGAACATTTTGTTGGTTGCCAGATGAGAGGGAGGTTGGGGGAATGGGTGAAAAAGGTGAAGGGATTAAGAAGTTCAAATTCATTGCTAGACTGACAAACCTCAAAGGGAAAGGGGTTGAAGGGGTGGGAAGAAATAAACTAAAGAACTTATATGCATAACCAATGGACACAGACAATAGTGTGGGAAAAGGCAGGAGTGGGGAGGAGGGGGTCAATGGGGGAAAAATGTGGAATATCTGTAATACATTTTACATTCAACAATAAAGATTTTTAAAAAAATAAAATAAAATAAAATCAGACGAGCAAGAAGAATCCTTGCTGAGGATTTGGGGAAGCTGTACCCCCCCCCCCTTTATAATTGTGCTCTTTTATAATTTGGCTGTGCGACTCTGGTTATCTTGCTGGCACATTATAACAAGAACAATATTAATTTAAACTCTACTCCTAATGTGCTCATGCAAGAAATGATAGGAAATAATTTTATATTAGCTTAATATGTTCTTATATAACTTCAACATGTGTAGTATCTATAGGCACACCTTTAATATCTATTTTCTTCTTTTTTTTAATATGTTTTTATTGATTTTTTAGGGAGAGAAAGAAAAACATTGATGTGAGAGAAAAACATCAATCAGCTGCCTCCTGCACGCCCCCTACTGGGGATCAAGCCCACAACCCAGACATGAGCCCTGACCGGGAATTGAACAGGACCTCTCAATCCATGGGATGACGCTCAATCCACTGAGCCACACCGGCTGGGCAATATCTATGTTCTTGAAGAAAAAGAAAAGAAATCAATGATGAAAGCTGGTTCTGGCAACACTACAGATGGAAGCTAATAAGACTCTGTTCCCACTGCAAACACTAGAAATACCGGAGGGAATGTAACCGTCAAAAAAAAAAAAAAAGTAGTGGCCCTGGCCGGTTTGGCTCAGCGGTTAGAGCGTCGGCCTGCGTCCTGAGAGACCTGGGTTCGGTTCCCGCTAGGGGCGCGTGCCTCGGTTGCAGTTTGTCCCCGGCCCTGGTCGGTTGTGCGGGTGGCAGCCGCTCGATGTGTTCCTTTCACGTCGATGTTTCTCTCTCTCTCTCTGTTCCCTCTCTCCCTCCCACTCTACCTGAACAAAAAATGGAAAAATGTCCTCGGGTGAGGATAAAAAAAAAAAAAAGTGACTGTTCATGGGAAAAAGGGAACAGCACCTGAGCCAGGACTGGAAAAAAAAAAAGTGACTGTTCATGGGAAAAAGGGAACAGCACCTGAGCCAGGACTGGAGAGAAAACTGAAACCATGGTCAGGATGGCGGGAGCAGATGCTGAGAGCCCCGGGAGGCTGCAGATAGTCTAGACCCTGGACCAACCCCAACACAGCCTGGATTCTGTGTCTAGTGAGGCCTTGGGATCCTGTGAGGCCTTGTGACCAAGGATTAGCTGAGACCTCTCCACATAACATCAGAGGCCTCAAAGGCTCAGATTTGGTGGGAAAAATAAAAAGCAACCAACAACAAACAAGAACTGCCAACCTGGACAAGGACTATGGTAAGGAAGCCCAGGAAGGGAAAACAGAAACCATCCCCCCAATTTACAAGGTCCTTTTCAAGTAGGAAAACCTGGGCTGAGAAATTAACATAATAATTGGCCCTGGTCACCTGGCAGACACAAAAGTCAATCTACTTTATAAGGAAACTTTCACAATCCAGGCCCAAAACTACCTGTTGAAAGGGAACTCACTATACAGCGCTAAACAAGAGGAAGTGCTGCAGACAAACCATGAGGAGAAATTATGGTGACAGCATAGGGGAAAATCAGGAAGGGACCTCTAACAAGCTTCACCAAACAAACACAAATCAGGAAAGGAGAAGAAAGAAAAATTAAAACTTATTAACTGCAAAAGGAAGAATGTGGCTGAAATGGATCCAAATAAATATAGATTAAATTCACTATTTGAGACGAAGTCTCAAATTGAATTTTTAGATGTCGAGGCATCATCAGAAAGGAGAACCTGGGAACACAGAACTCAAAGATGTCCATACAGATAAAATGACCAGAGGTCTGGGATTTGCATCAGAATAACCCAGCGGGTGGTGGAGGTGGGAAGGAGAGTGTCCCTGTGTCCCAGCCTAGGAACTGGGTGGTGAGTTCAGGAGCATCCTTGGCACTAGTCTCCCTACTTTAATATATGCTTAAGATTTTCCTCAACAACAACAAAAAATTTTTAATTTTTATTAAAAATTTTAAAAATAAGATAAACAAAACAAGAAGACAAGATACACGCTAGGACAAGATATTCTCAAAAGCAGATTTCGTTTCTAGATAAAATATAAGAAGAATTCTTATAAATCAAGGGAAAAAAAAAAAGACAACCCCAATAGAAAAATGCTCCAAAGATATGAACAGGCAATTCACAAAAGGGAATAGTCAAGGTCACTAGTATTTAAGGAAATTGTACAAAGAGCATCAATGCCATACCATTTTACATCTCGCAGACTGTCATTAAGTCTGTTAACACCATGAGATTGTGCCCATGGAATGTAAACTCGTATAAAATCTAGAAATACATATGTCAAGGTCTAGCAATGATGACGCCTCCCTGCAACCCAGAAATCCTACCACTCAGTGTATTCCCTAGAAAAATTCACATGTGTGTGCATGCGCATGTGCCCATGTGGTGGGTGAGTTTAG